TGTCTGAACCAATCATTGACCAGCTGACTGATTTAAATACATCTTAACATTCATGAGGTACTTTACATTGACTGTTTATGGTTGAGTGTGGGCGTGTAGAGGGTAGAACCTGAGGCAGGACCTCGTGCGCAAACTCTGACGTGCGGCTGTGATTTATAAAGGAAAGATGCACAGAAACATGCGTACGCACGATTTTATAAATCTGAATTTTTTTTGGTGCACGCAATTTCAGCCTTTTGGCCGTATGTTCACTTTTAGGTTTCCACGCAATCCTTTATAAATGAGACCCCAGATACCTGAACAACATCTCCTGAGTTGTAGAATGGGAGGCAGAGCTTTATTACTGTGACACCCGCTCTGGGGTTAAAACAGTTTGCTGCTGCTGTCAGACATCCTGCTCTGTTCTGAAAGAACTGAAATATTACTTTAATGGAGCCAGTCTACAGCTCCATTATGTAACATTTGGTTTTATGATGTTTTACAGAAACAAATAATCCTTTTTGACAAAGTCTTTTGMGTGTATGCTGTCGAAAAGCCTGTCTTTATGAAGCAGGTCACACAGCTGTACGTCTGTTCTGTAGCCTGAAAGAAGCAGAGTCCATTATTTCTGAAATACATTTTCATTCGCCAGACTTCACTTTTGCTTCAGTCCATATTTTAAAAGACGAAGTCCACATCACATCCAGAATTGTTCTCATGCTTTCACGTCCTCTGTTCAGCTCTGTTTTCATGTCTCGCTGCCTGAGGAGACATGTAAATTSTTTTTCCAGCCTGCATGCTCAGATCACAGATTTCCTGAATTATTTGTTCTTTTCTAAACAGTTTAAAAATATATAAATTCCTTCAATGTGTTTTATATTGGATTTATACTGTCAKTAATATAAAGCAGTTTCTCRAAGTCTCAGGCCATMGTTCTCAACAAGCCCGGCGGTCCTGACACTCGGCCAAACCTCATGAACCTGAGCCGAGGGTTCTGTTCAGTTCTGAATGGTGGAGCTGTGGGATCAGTAAAGACTCTGGTGCAGCAGGAGGAACCATTCAGAATAGTTTGTCTCTTTGAACAGGGATCAGGTCCAGACTTGTTCAGGAAGGTGACTCATCAAACATTGTTGCTTTATTCATTTTAATCATGACATCAAACAAGTTTTATTAAAGTTGAACAAAAACATGTTTATTCAAGTGGTTTAACTACAGGATTTACAATCAACCCATCAGAACCAGCTGAACAGAGGAGATGATGGAGCAAAGGTTCTGAGCAGGTCTCAGATGTTGGTCCAGGTAACTCAGTCACTCATTCCATGCAGCAGCTCTGTTGTCCTCCATTATTTTCTGTCAATGCTCTGGTTTCATTTAAAAATGAACCATCAGGACAGAGCAGCTGACCTACTCTGTGATGTTTATAACATGAAGTGACAACGTTGGTTTATATTTATTTATAAAAACTAAACAGCCTGCAGTATTTGTACAGTGTTTGTGTTACAGTTGAAATAATGTGTAATGTTACAACTAGTCAGAGTRCCCTTTYAAGAACACCTGCATGTAAACAGAACCACTCTGATCCAAAGAAAAGCAGSAAAACAACTTCCTGTTTATCTGCTGCTCTGAGCACAGCTGCTGTTCTGTGACAGAATGAGCAGAATGAAGACGTCACAGCTGATAAATGGCAGCTCACCTGCAGCTGAGTTACCTGGACAGCCAGCAGTGAGGTTTYACCTGAGACAACTCCTCCTGTATCAGAACTGGGATCTCAGACCCTGCAGGTCCAGCTTTCTGATATAAATACTACGTCAGTGCAACAGTGCCTGATTTGTTAACAGAAAAAAAGGCACAACTTTGGATACAGAAAGCACTTTCAGTATTTAGAACCTTTAAAATAAATAAAGTCGTTTTCTACCTGAATAGTTTGCTAACGCAGCAGCTGTCGGAGGGCCCAGCCCCGCTCTGCAGGTCAAGTCCGGACTCTGAAAGTTTCTGAGCTCACAGAGCTGTTTCAAAGATAACTAAGTTCTCTTCTGTGGGTTCTGTAGGTCCGTTRGGAATGACGTGATGACTTCTGCTCTCGTAAGCCTGAGGAAGTTCAAACGTAAGTCAGGTTGARACAAACAGCTTTAGAAACGTGGTTCTGAAAGAGAACCGGACCTGTTTAGCTGCTTCTAGCAGAGCGGCTGCTTCCTGTTTGCCCGTCTGCTGGACCATCCTGTAGAAGATGTTGGTGTCGTCCTGCAGCAGGACGTATGGCTCGGCGTAGGCGTGGATCCTGCCTGCATCTAAAACCTGAACAGAACACAGACTCAGGTGAGAAGCTGCAGGTCTGGACTGGTCTCTGGTCTGAGGGTCAGCGTTTTGGGTCTGACCAGGATTCTGTCGCTGTCGATGATGGTGTTGAGGCGATGAGCGATGGTCAGCACCGTACATTCTCTGAACTTGTCCCGGATGGTTTTCTGGATCAGCTCGTCGGTCCTGCAGGGACAAGAGGACTTTAGAGACCGACTCAGACCTGTGTGTGTGTGAGTGGGGTTCTGGTCTCTGGAGTACCTGGGGTCCACGTTGGCCGTGGCCTCGTCGATGATGAGGATGCGGTTCTTCCTCAGGATGGCTCTGGCGAGACACACCAGCTGCCTCTGGCCCACGCTGAAGTTGGAGCCGGACTCGGCCAGAACCGTCTCCAGCTTCCCCGGCAGCTCCTCCACCACAGACTTCAGCTGGACCTGCAGGGACCACCCAGGATACCATGAGGGACACATGAAGACTCCCAAAAACTGGTTCAATACTTCAGGATAAATGCTTATTGTTCAATGACCCAGTCCAAATCTCATGTAAATTTCTTTAAAACAAACAACTCGTTCAAAAAGAAGACAGTAAAACCATAAAACTAAAGAATAAAAATGAATTTTATCTGARGGTTTAAAAGCAGCTGGAGGTCTGTGATGCAGMGGGGWCKAGTCCTGGTCCTGGAGGTCTACTATCCTGCAGGTTTTACCTGTTAGCAGGTTTCTGCAGGACCTGAAGAGGTGATTCAGTCAGTGAATCAGGTAAAGTCTGCAGGATGTGGTCCKTGAGGACCAGGACTGGACCAGCAGATGTGGAGCTTAAAGTGACCCGGTCCGTTCTGACCTCTCTCAGGGCGTTCCACAGTTCTTCATCAGTGTGTTGGCTAAAAGGGTCCAGGTTCTTCCTCATGGAGCCCGTGAACAGAACTGGATCCTGGGAGGAAACGGTCAAATGAAACTAACAGAAACAAAACATGGAACAACAAGCAGCTGCTGAAGAACCCAGTCTTTAAAGGTGGTTTTAAACTTCTGGATCTTTGAACCCTGGTGTTGGTAAAACCTCTGCAGGTCCAGGAGGCCGGGGCTCACCTGAGGAATGATGGACATCTTCTGCCGCAGGTCATGCAGGCCGATCTCAGACGTCACCACGCCGTCGATGTAGATCTTCCCCTGAGGCTCTGCCAGACGGAACAGAGCCGAGACCAGGGAGCTCTTCCCAGCGCCGGTCCTCCCCACAATCCCCACCTGGTCCACAGGAAGAGCATCAGCTTCTGTAGCGACAGAACCAGAGGTTCTGCTCTGACAAATGAATGGGTCAGACCTTCTGTTTGGGTTTGAACGTGGCTTCCAGGCTCTGCAGCACCAGCGGGCTGTCGTCGCTGTAGGAGAAGCTGACCCGGTCGAAGGTCACCAGGCCTTTGTTGGGCCAGTCAGGAGGGGGGCGTTGCTGCATCTCCCAGGGTGCCTCACTCTGCAGCTCGGTGTAGTCCACCACTCTCTCCACTGACGTCATCTGAAGGAGCAAACATCTGTGAACACTGGAACATCACAGAATCTCTGAGAACACAAAGGGCTCACCATGTTCTCCACCTCCGCGCTCTGCCTGACCCCCCACTGGAACATCCCCATCAGGGTCACCGCGTAGGTCAGAGCCAGGCCCACAGAACCAGCATCCAGCTCTGAGAACCACAACAAACACCTCATCATCTTTCACACACAGATGGCTTTTTTCTTTAGGGTCAGAACTCAAAGACACAAAGACAGGAAGGTTCCTCACGGTCTTTGAGCAGCAGGCAGCCGAACACAGTGACGGTGACAAAGATGGAGCAGATCCCATCCAGACGAACGGCAAACCAGCGAGAGGTGACCAGGAACAGGAACCAGGCCTCTGTTCAGGACCAAAAACTGTCACAAATACAGCAGCCAGACTTGAAAGGTGGGTGTATGGAGGAAGAGGCGGACCTGAGTGCAGGTTCTGGTGAGCGTCAAAGGTTTTCTGGAACCTCTCCTCAGCTCCGAAGGCTCGGATGGTCCACAGACCCTGAAGAGACGAGGACAGGTGGGAGAAGACGGGACTCCGAGCTGCGGGACAGAGAGAAAAAGTTGCAGCTTCCCTGAAACGTCTAACAGAAAACAGAACGCTGACGTGAGACTCGGGTCCACTCACTGGTGGACTCCAGCCGTTTGACGTCTCTGGAGGTTTGCAGGAAGTAACGGCGCAGGTAGAGGAATACTCCGAGGAGGGGCACGACGGGGATGAGGATCCAGGGGATGACCGATGAGGCTACAGCGATGACCCCGAGGATCTGCAGGAAGACCTGAGTAGAACAAAAACACAGAAACATGAAGCGGTGAGGAGCTGAAACATCATTRATAATATGTTCCTGGTTGTGACTGCTTGGGGGGAACGAAGAATTTAAATCTGCAGGTTTGCCAGGATATGAACATAACGCTGTACAGAAGTGCTCATGGGTTTTAAAGTCCATGTTTGTGACGGGCCATGATGCCTCCTTGGTAAAAGTTGCTMTATTTCACTTGGTTGTCCCTGATCAGGGTCGGTTTGAGCTTCAAGTGTTTTTTATTCCTCTGCAGACAAGTCCAAATGAGACAGAAAACTATTAACAAGAAACTAAGAGGTAAAATAATTATAGACACACTGTAAATATGAAGGTAAAGGTTCTGTTTAGAATCTATAACTATCGGATTGGGCTGCATTAATCGTGACTGAAGAGGCTCCGCCCTCCCTCTCTATAAATGTGTCTGGATTTCTCAACTTCCTGTTTGATGGTGACTTGTTTGGATTGATGGGAGCTCCTAGAGCAAAAATTTGGATATCTGCTCTTTGAGCCCATCAAAAAAGCTCCGTGTTCTTAGGGTCAAATGGGTGGTGTCCACCAACAGGTTCTTTGATTGCCGTCGTTACATGTTCCGATTTCAGCACCACTCCATTCACCCAAATGACCAAAGTCACGAGGCAGCAGATCTTAAGGTACACTTTATACTCAAATGTACAGCCTTTCCCAATCAGTGGCTCCTCCCTCRCACTAATCCCTCCACACTACCCTCACTGTGAAGCCCTCTCCAAGCTGAACTGAGTCCCCTTGATGGCGCTGTAAGGTATAATTATAAACAGAGTTGCACATAAGTGGTGCGCAGGTGCGCATGCGTGGTCAAAAAAAGAAAAAGTGCACCAGATGGAATGTCATGAAGCTCATTTGCGTACCTGAGATTGTCAAAACAACAGTTAGCAGGGCTCTAGAGTGCGATCAGTTTGGTTGCAAATGTGACCTGATTTCTTTAAAAAAAAAAAGAAATCCAGCCGCACTGGTTCGTTGTTTGGTGCTCACCAAGCCTTTTAGGACAGCATGACCCTGATATAAAGATTAAACTGAGACACTGCCTTCAACAAATCAGATGAAGTCCAGAGCTGTTTTATCCAATCACAGCAGAGCAGGGCGGGACTTTCAGTGAGAGCAGGTTTGGTTGAAGCAGCAACTCAGCTCGAGCAGATAGGCTCCCAGGCACCCACGGAGATTTCCGAGGGTGCAGCGGTCAGTCCTGACATCTCCTCCTGCACTTTGCTCCTGAACTACCAGAGACTTTGGTCTGTAAAASCTAACTTTATATTAAATATATGTTCAGAATGTTGTTCTCCAACAGATCTGTTCAACTCTGTGTGAGTGACAAACTCTCCTCCTGATGAGAGACTGCTGTGATGGGAGCGAGTCTTTCTGTGAGACTCACTGTCACTGCCAAAAATCCAGAAGACCAAACAGGAGCTGTCCATCTGAGGGACATGTGTTAGTCTACAAGACATTTAACCATGAAATGTTCAGTTTGTGATGTTTATATGACATACACCCAGCCCCTCGGCCACTTAGGTAGTTTACAAAATTTATGCAGAGTAAAAAAAATAAATAACTAGTAGCACTCGGAGAGTGCAAACCTCCACCAAGACCAATTTCCTCCTCCTGCAATGAAGTATTTCACAGATACCGCCATCTTTGKCTAACGCAAAGCATCATGGTCCAGTTTGGGGGCAGATTTCTATTCTGTGTTCTAAGCAATAGACCTTTATGAAGCTCTAAAGCTCCCACTCCAAATATTTTCAACTAACAAAGCCTCCCTGATGGGAAGAGAAACATCTAGTTTCAAAATAGAAGTCCAGTTAGCTTAAAAATATTGATTTATTTAATGCCTCGAACCTCATGAAAAGCTTCATCCTGATATTGAGGACATTTATTTTATACTAGTTTTCTTTTTTCAGGTGAACTATTTTAAGGTTTTTTTTTATTTTAAGTAAAATATGTATTCATATTTTTAATTCTTAGTTTTTCAAAAAACTTTTATATTTATAAGGTTCTACTAATCTTATATAGCTGGGAAATATTTAAATGAGCACAAAGCTTGGGACTCAAGAGGTTAAAACTGGTGGGGCACAGCCCCCCGTGGCCACCCCCACTTGTTGTGCCCCTGGTGACTGACAGGTGATCTTCCACAGTGAAATGATGAGCTGGAGCACCGCACATCTGTTAGATCTAGATGGAAGACTTTTCAAATTCATCTTCTGAGGTATTAGTAAACAGCTGATTTGTTGTCAGGCTGAGCTTTATGGGAGAAGTTTTCTGTTTGAAGTGACTTGGCCCTGTTAGAGCTGRTGCACTGTGCATCTCTCTGCTGAATGCCAGAGACAACAGATTTAATTCATGCAACACTAATTGGGACAAGGCATTTATTTTGTGAATTTTTAGTATTTAATAAGTGTGCCACTGTTTGTTTTAGCAGCCCGCCTAGGGTTAATGGGACTAATTTTTCTGATCTCCGCTCTTCATCCTCAGCTCAGGTGGCGCCCTGCAGCTCAAATCAGCTGTGCGGTATGATCGGCCTGACCGGTGGTGAGGAGAGTTAAAGTCATTTGATATGGCATTGTTTAGTGCACAATGAATCCAGAAAAACCTCTGGGGTTGGATTTATAAAACTGGCGTACGCACAATATGAGCCCTGAAACTTGCGTACGCCACTTCTCATGCAAAGGTTGTGATTTATAAAGTCCAAACTTGACGTGAAAATGGGCGGTGCCTCACACCAGCTCTGACCCATGCATATGCTCGTTTTGGAGATGGGAAACTGTGACACAGATGGTGAAGTGAGGAATTAGAGCCACACTGTGTAATGATCACTGTCAGATATTTAATTTACCTTCATCAGACTTAGATTTTTATTCAACTTTATCATCAGCTTTCTTAACAGTAATATTTATGCTTCTGCTGCTGAGCCATGAGGACCTTTGAAATGAAATAAAAAAAACTTAAATCTTAAATAAAAGTTCACGCAACTCATTA